CAAGCGGCTAATTGCGCGCTGCCTGCGCCATCTCCCCGGCGGCAGGTCCTTTTTAAATTGCCCGCAATCTTTTGACATGCCATTTATTGCTTTTTGCTTTTTCTTTGGGCTATTGCTAACTAATTGCCGCAATCGATTTTGCATAATTGGCATGCCGCAATTGAATTGTCACTTGCAATCCCAACATGAAGTTTTCCGCAAAAAGCGTGAAAGTCCGCAAATGAAAATGCAGCGGATTAAATTGAATTCAAATAAATTGCATGGAAAACAACGCAACTTGTTAACGCTATTAGCGACAAGTGTGGCAAATCAGCAGCAGCAACCACAACAACACATACACACACGCACCCAGATTTTTACCAAATGCGGCGCACGTTGCGTATACGCAATCTCCGGGTCGTCAGCCTTGAGGTGCGGCCAAAAATCAAAACCAGTTGCAGCTGTGCAACGTGTCGATTAGCGGCAACTTTGCGTATACCAGCAAATTGTAAGTCAATGTCATGGCTGAGGTTCAGCACACACAAAAAGCGCAAATGAATGGAGTGACTAATCGATGTGTGCAATGTCGAGTTCAATGAGTTTTTTTTTTAATCAATACTTATGGGAACTTACAATAATTGGTACTGGCAGCACACTGAACCCTGCAACAGACGGCTAAGGTAAGCGAATGTGTGCTATAAGCACCATAATTAAGTACAAACGCAATATTGGCTACTTTATAAATTGCTACTTGCAACACTCTATGTAATTGAAAGCCCAAAAGATAACAAAAGAAAACTATTAAGCACCTGTGCGACCGGGAAAGCGATTCATGGATAAGCTGGCTTTATCGCATCGTCAAAGCTGATCCATGTTTTTTGTATAAAAAAAAATGGGAATACCTGTGATATTTTATTACGTAAAAATTGTAAAAAATACTTTTTTGCATTATTAAAAAAGGCCTCAAATCAATTTTGGGATAACAAATGTAATGAAAACAATAGTTTCAGTCTCAAGTTGAAAAATTTCTATCTAGCACTTGGAATTTAATTGATTTTATTACTGTTGAGTCGAGGTCCTGGAGAATTATGTGTTCACTTTGGGGACAAATCAAATTTAGCCCGTATTTTGTATATGAAAATATGTACAGCTGGCAACATTTTTCAGAACAAAGGGCAATAAATATAATAAAAATCGGATAATTCAAAAAGATCTTAAAAAAAAAAAAAAATTAAGGCTTGAACCAATAAAGATCTGTAAAATAATATTGACGAAAGGAACCTTAAAGTAGAGAGTTCGTTTGTACCATGAACCGAACCTCCGACGCCTTCTGGTTTTCATAGTAAATAATCTAGTTGTTTTATTTCGGATTTTGTTGAAAGTCGGCTATAGTTAGTTTTTCAAATAGTTGACTAAATGTTTAAGCACTTGTTCAATTAAAAATTTCTAGGAGACGTCATTCTTTTCTCTAGTAAAACCTTTGTATATAACAAATCACATTAACTGCAGTTAAAATAAGATTAATTTCCTTTGCACAGTCTTAAAGTTGAATATGTCGAACTCATTTAAAGTCCATATGCATTTATCTACAAACAGATATACTACTTATCACTTGGATACGTATCTCAGTCTCTGAGACGCTTTATTTATTTACCAGCTGAGCATTTGCCAAGTCGGCGCTGTTGCAATCAAATAGTTATTTATTTTGGCCAGCCAAGCAACAACCTACAAAATGCTCGCATTCAGTGTCGGCAGCGGGTAATATTATTAACCATATCAATTGCAAGAGCGCAACACCTTTGCGCATGCGCAACCCGGCGATAGCCAAAAGCTCAGCCTGGTCAACTGATGCGGGCGGGTGGTCAGCCAATTGGAATTGCATTTGCGGCCGCTGTTACCGTTAGTTGTTGCTGCCGCTGCCACTACCGCTGCCGTTGCCGTCTTAAAAGTGCAAAGTCACGGATGAACGAACCGACAGTTGGCAGTTGGCCGACTCAAACTGTCGAGTTGCCGGAGCCGGTGGAACTTTGCTTCAGCGATTCGTTTTAATTGATTTTGTTGTGCGGCTTGTTGGTCAATTGCGGCAGGAATGGCAACGCCTGCACCAACCACCAACCACTAACCGCCAACCAGCAGCCACAACAACAAGTCAACGGGTGCACTGCCGATGAGTTGCTAAACTGAATTTGCGCTTGGGCAACTAATTTAACTGAACATGCTGTGGAGACAGTGGAACTCAATCCAAGCCCGGGTATGCAAAAGAGTTGCCAAACATTCGCGGCCAAATTCGGCGGCTCCTAATTGTGGATTTTGGACGCCACGTCCACTCACTGCAAACCAGAGCCACCGTGGCGATAATTCCACTTGGCACCCTCTCGCTTCATTGCCTGATTTGAGTGCTCTTACTGATGTGCTGTTGTTGTTGTTGTTGCTGATGTTATTGTAATTGCCATGGTTTGTACATTTTTTGGGCTAATTTTCAAATACAGCGACGGCCCAATGGATTTCCATTTCCACTCGCTTGCCATAAACTTTTTGCGGCAAATGTTATTGGGGTACTCCAAGTGGTGGTTGTTGTTGCCGCTGCTGTTGGTGTTTATGCAATCAAAATTCTTGCTTGCCCCGCAGCAAATAGCAACAACAACCACAACGGCTCGAATGGCACTTGTGGGTGCAATTGTAATTATCCTAATTTATGTTGTATGCTGCTCGCTTTGCTGCAGCTCTTGGTTGCGCACCCGCCGCGCTGGCACCACCCAACAATAACGCGCCTCTGTCGGATTCTAATACCGCACAGATTTATTGTAAATTATCTAGCCACTTGACAATGATCGATAGCATAAGATTTATGCACACAAATATTCAGGTATTAAAAACGCCGCTCAACGTTGCCCATTTTGGGAACAGCTATGGGGCTACTTCAGCTTCAACTGTAGTTTCGAACAGCACTCGAGTGCACTGGAATCGAGTTTATTTTGTGGCCAACGGTTTCATTTTCTATTCGCGACTATTTAAAACATTTTCCACTGTCATTCCTGTCGCTTGGTTTTTACAATAATTAGCCAAAATAAATGAGGCGACAATTTTGAAATGGAGTAGTGAATGCGGTGCATTAGTGAAATGTCTGAAATGGTTTTCGGCCAAATAGATTTTATTGTAGTAATTAAATGTAATGAATATACACAAATGCACCAGCTGGAATTTCAATTTTCAATTGCACACATAATATTTTAGTTTTGTGTTAGCTGCAAATTATATAAAGTTGTTGTAATTACAGTTAACTAATTAACGTATAAAGTGTGTGTCGTTATTTCAGTAGCTTTACAATTACTTTAAAAACCATTTAAAAACAATCAAAATCAGATACTTTATTTATAATAAACTTAAGTTCTAGGATTTATTGTAATTTTTTATTTTTCCACTAATTAAAACATCACTCAATGTCTGCGCCAAGTTGAAGAATCTATTACCTTTATTACACCAACATTAGTACTCATTTAATATTCGCATGAATATTCATGACTTAAACGGAACTAGAGCACTAATAAAAACAATGTAAATAAATCGCTTACAGCATAACACAAATAATAACTAATAAAGAGCTCCTCCCGTTGCCATAAGTCATTTTAAATGAAAATATTTACAAAAGGCGCCACTCCAGAATTTTATATATTGCGAAACCAAGCTCAAACACACACACACACACACACACAAACACACAATTAAATATTTAATAAATAAATTAGCTCATAACAGAAAAACTACGACAATAACAAGCAAACAAGAACAAATAATAAACAAACAAATTAATGTGTTGAACAAATACGCAAAGTATTATCGCATTTGAATTAGAAGCGAGGGCAGGAGGCCAACATGGCATACGACATTCACAAACAGCTTTAATGCTGGCAGGTGTTAATAATAATAAATATGAAAAAAACAAAATCAATTTCGAGCATATCACATCAAAGTTCTATCGACATTTCAGGTGTGGTCCAGACCGTACAAATTGAAATGTTCATGTCAAAGTATGACAACAAATAAGCTAAATCGTTCATTCCAGCATTCAATCGAGTACATGAGCGCAGACAACGCCAACTCCATTGATTAATGGACACTTTATGCTATACATGATAATTAATACCACTCGAATGTCAAATTGAAATTTATTTGCACGCACTTTGGGGTTGACAACTTGCGTTTAGTTTTGTATGAATCTAATTAAGTGCGGCAATTTAAAATGCAGCAATGACACTAGCTGAAAGCAACTATGATATGTTAAATGATACGTTTGACTTTCAGCCAGAAGTTTTTGTTTTACCAAATAATAGAGCTTAAACTTGAGACTGTCAACTTAGAAATCCTCAATAACAGAGCTCCTTTTAAGTCTCTTTACTTCTCTTTACCTTCTTTTCATTAACTTCTACATTCAGCTGGTGTAATTTAGGATCTATGAAAAAGTTATGTTACAGTTAAGACAAAGCTTTAATTACAAACAAAAAGCTTTAACATCTTTTACTCTTTTCCCATTTAGGTTAATTTTACTAAACAACACTTTCAGCTAAGCTTACAATTATAGCTTAAGGCTGTAACAAACTTTACTCCCGTTTTTTCAATTTTTCTGCCCCTTTCCCGCAATCTCTCTTAATATTTCTCAATGAAATACTAGTTCATCTAGTGTGATTTAGCCAGTAAAACCTTAGCTGTAAAAGTTTTTTATTAGTTGAAACATCGCTTAAGCTAGACTCTCAAAGGTTTAACATCTTGTAATCTCGTTATCTTTCTCTTTTTCTGCCTCTTTGCCTCTCTCCCCATCTCTTTTTCTCTTCCGTACTCTTTAGCTGATTTTCGTCAACTGCCGCTTTCAGCTAGTTTCATTCTGACTTAAAGCAATTCCACTAAAAGCACTGCACAGAAATTGCTCTGTAAGTAACAAAAACAAATTTATTTTAAGTATACTCGTGCTCATTTAATTGAAAAGCACTTTGTAGTCTCGCCGAGCTTTGCCTTTTAAGTCAACTGATAACAGTTAAGAAACTCTGTTGATATGCTCACAGCTGAGTTCCCATCTGATTTTCACTGTGAGTGCGCCCACAAAGCAGATGCGCCCGCTGCTTTTCACATTTCAATTAGCGGTAATCTCGCGGCAATTAAAATTAGCAACAGCAAAGTGCTGGGCATATTGCCAGTAGCTTTACCATTATCCCGGCAACAGCATTCACATCAAAACGCAACAACATTTCGCCTTCAACGCGCATCGCTCCCAACACGGCAAAACATTGGCGACTTCAGTTCCAAGGCGATAACAGGCAGATGCAGCAGCAGCAGCAGCAGCGGCAGCAACAACAACAACAACAACAACAACAACAGAAGCGTCGCTCAAAACACAAATTCCCTTTCCAAACTCAAGCTTTGAGTCAATTTTCAAAGTGCCCGTGGCGAACGCAGTCATAAGCAACCCAGGAAATAACTGGATAGGCTGCTTAAGCAAATGTGTCGAAGTGTACCAAAGTTTGAATGTGAGTGTTATTTATTTAACAGTAACTCGACTGATATTCTAGGAACAGCTTGAACCTGTAAACCTCAGCTCAAACTAAACACACACACAACATAAGTGCCGACAACGGCTAAAATATTTCTGCATCATTGTGAGTTCATTATGCATCATCAGTATCATAACGAATGTGAAAATCATTCTCAATGGGCGGTCGTATAAAATACACTCGAATATAAAATACCCTGCAAATAGTTTAGAGTATGTCAACACACATCGTGATTGTGACACGCCAAAATCAAGTACGAAATTTCTAGTAACAGTAATGGCAGATATCCCACGTACAGGTTGAAGTATCCAAATTCACGTTCTTGTACAACTTCTCGTTTAATTTAATCATTTTAAGATGATCAGATTTCACAATTACGAAGTAAAATAATTCAACAATAGAATTGTTTTAATTTAAAACTGTTCAATTATATTTAAGAGATTAGCTGAAAATAGTTTTAATTAGGATATTACCTAGAATTTTCATTTGATAATTGTGCAATTCACAATTTAGTTTTTAGACAACAGATAGGAATAACTAAAATTTACAAGTGAGATATTTTTGCTGCTTAGGCTAAAAAACACTATAAGGTAAGAATTTCATCATATACTTTTTTTGATCTTATGTATTTGAATACATGGTATAGTCGTGTGATGCCACAGTATCTCACCAGTTAAGGGCAGATAAGCACAGATCTTACATAAGGAAAGAGTACTTGTCGTAATTATTCGTATGTCTGCTGGGGCTATTCGGTTGATTAGTCTGGCTGACTACCGATCATTTTGGGGGGACTTTTAGATTATGTGTCAACTCATTGTTAATTAATCGGGTAATTGAAAAAATCATTTAAAAGTGTTGTTCATTCATTTAACACACGTTCACATGCACACACACACAGGCATTCATAAATTGATTCATTTTTGGTTCGTTTACCTTTTGCACAACCTGATGGCACAGTTTTTCTTTGTATATACATGATGTATTCGTTGTATTTATTCGATTATTGTGCTCTTGAACTAGAGATCAAATGAACACAATGGCCAAACCAAATTAAAAGCCATAAGGTTGGCAATTATATAACTTTAGCGCCGGAGACTGCAATTGCAACTGGCAAATGGCAGCAACAACAGTTATAAATATTATGCAGTGCATTCCACCTATTTACATACGTGAGTGTGTGTGTGTATCTGCTTGACATGTTCTCCAATCTCGGCCATAGTCGCTAATTAAAAGGTTTAAGGCTAAAATTAGCATACGAGGCAATGGCAATTCAAAGTGAATACAACTACAGATGCACCTCACAGCGACACGCACAAAATGAGTGACCCACACATACACACACACACACGCAACACACACACACAAACATAAGCTAATTCGCGTGTTTGCTGTTCATGAAACACAAATTCATGCGATACGAGATGGAGAAATGGACCTCGGCAACAACAAAACATGCCCATAGGCTTGTACTCTATGTATGGTGAATGGATGGGCAGGTGGTGGTGGTGTTTATGGTGCAGAAGGCAGGGGCAGGGGGTTGGGGAGACGACTATTTTGTTGAGCATGAGCTGCGTGTCGTCATATTAGATGGCATCGCATGCCAGCAATTATCCGCATAATCTTGTAATACTAACCTAAACCCAAAATGATGTCGAAAGGCAATTTAGTGGCAAGTTTTCTTTTCGCCTCGCAAGTAGCTTTAATTCACTTAACTAGTTGTTCGCGTGTGTGAGTGTGTGTGTGGCCAGTGATTATGCATATAAGCAGTAAATACATTTGACGTTTTCGCTGATGGAAATTACGTATACGCACGGTGTGCGCAGTTTGTACTTGCAGAAACTTTTGCCAGTGAAATTCTAGATGAGCTTAATGGGACTTTAGCCTTCAAATTAACTCATAAATAAGTTAACTATTATTAAATAAATTAATCCGGCTAGTAGAACCTTGAAAATCACATATAACCTATCCTTGTAGAGTAGCTTATGTGGAAAAGAACTATAGCGACACTTTGTTTACATATACCTAACCATTGCAACTGTTAATATGACCCATTCCGTAGGGTATATCGCAGCGAAACAACCAAAATTTAACCAGCATTGGTTGCCAGTCCGTCCTGGTTGTCTCTGCTGTCCAATTGTTTTGTGAAATTAAATTAAATTGATTGAATTTAGACTCAATTCAAAGCTGAACCCGGGACGGAGGTCAAAGCGGAGGTGCTACCGTTTACAGAGTACGCGTTTGTATGTGTGTATGGCCATGTGTGTGTAAATGTGTGTACCATTGATAATGACACTAATTTGAGAACGAAAAGTTTGTTGTTGCGACTGCTGCAGCTGCTGCTGCTAATGTTTATACCGTATTATTACATCACTTCTTGTTGTTGTTCAAAAGTTGTTTTTGTTTAGCCGACATTAGCACACATTAATGGAACCGGAAGTTGCCGCTGCTTAGGGAGCTTCAAAATGAGATAAATAGGTCGAATGCTGGGCCTACGGCAATGTGATCGGCTTAGGTGCAGGTTGATGCATTTGTAGAAGGTCAAAGACCCATTGATATCAATACAACAATCATGTTATGCTAGGCTGTCAATATTTACGTTATGCCCTGTCGCGCAAACTGAATGGCAGCATACGCACATACACACACACACACTCATACACTGCCTGAGCAGTAAACACAGATCACAATCATTCCGACTACATGGAAGCCAATCTCGTCTCCACCTCTACCTCTGCCGCTGACGCCATCTCCTTTTCTTTACTGATCTATGCTTTTTTGAGGGGTTTATTTAAGCGCCGCGTTGTCGACGTCGCCATCGTCGTCGCTGCCGCCGCCACCGCAGTTGTCTTCATTCAATTGTTTGTCGCGCGCCGTGATTGCGTCCAGCTTGACCGGCGCACTGGACAGCCCCAGCCGAAGCTGGCACTTTTAGTAGGCAATGCGCGTGCGACTGATGCGCTCGCACTAGATCTCGCTGCTTGTTGCTCTCGATTCTCGATTCTCGGTTTACGGTGCTCGGTACTTGATTCTCGGCTCTTTGGTTGGCGGTTATTCATTTTTCATTGCTTCGCAATTGCGACGCGCAAAAAATTGCTTTTAATTAAAGTATAAAAGGCCACAGCGCATATTCGGCACTATTTGTTATCGTATCCATATTCGTTACACATATTCATAACCGCGCACTATGAGTCGCCACAGCCCGTTGAAGCTGGCGCTGGTGCAGGTGCACGGGGTTCAAATGTCGCCTACGCCACCCGCCGCTCGTGTGCGTCGCGTCAAGCTGGGACTAGGGGTTAATCAGCAAACGGGGCGTGTACAGTGGTGTCCCGGTCTAACATGCTGTAAATTGCTTTTGCTGCTTCCAGTGGTGATGCTGCCATTGACATTGGTGCTGCTGCTGCTACTGCGGCTGGATGGAATGCTGCAGGCTCTTCAACTAAACGAACAGCGCATGCGCGAGCAACGCAGAGCGGCAGACTCAATGCCCGGCTATCTGAATGACTACGAGTCACTGCTGCCGGAAGGCGACAGCTACAATGAGCTAATCAATGATGAGTTTCTGTTGCCGCAGGCAAAACGCGCCCGGCTGGAGACACTGGCGGAACGAGCTAGACGCTGTCTGCCTTATCGCTATGCGAATGGTGAGACTTTGGAGCTGGAGGATCGCAGCATTCTAATGAAGGATGCGCGCACCTCCTTTCTGCCACATGGCTCTGGACTCGGCTCCATGCCACGCGAGTGCTTCGGTAATGAACTGTTTGTGCCCACCGCAACCGAAACGGATACGGTGGTTGACGACGATGCGGGCTCTGAGTTTGACACAAGTCACAAAAAGGGTATGCCCAAGCGCTATCCAGAAACGGTGCAGTACTGGTCGAGGCGGCAGACAGCGCGTGAACGCCGCGAGGCACAGCAGCAGCGAATGAATAATATGGAATCTGAGTTACTCGACAGCCCGCTGCAATCTTTCTGGCATGAGCAGGGCACACGGGAGGATATACGGCAGGCACAGGCCAAAACCATGCAGCGTTACATGAACACCCATGTGGATCCCTGCGTGGATTTCTACAAGTTCGCCTGTGGTAACTGGGAAAAATTGCATCCCATACCCAAGGACAAGGCGGGCTTTGACACCTTCGAAATGCTGCGTGAGAGTCTGGATCTGGTGCTGCGAAATCTGCTCGAAAAGAATATGCAGCAGCCCAGTCCAGAGACGCGTGTGCGCCAAAATGTATTCAAACTGAACGAACAGGAGCCTGAAACAGATCAAGCGTCCGAACTGAAAGCCGAGCGGCTGCGCCGGCACATTGTGCACCGGCGGCATTTACTTAACCGGGTGCTGGTGCGGTATAAACGCTTCAGCAATGGCACCAAACGCAAACGGCTGATTGAACCGACGCGTGAAAAGTCGAAAGAAGAGGAAGCGGCGGCTACAGCGCGAAACAACAAGGATAAGGACCATGACAAAGACAAGGACAGAGTCAAAGAGGAATCAATGCATCAGCCACCCGGCCCTGGAAGCCCCAATGAGTTTTTGAAGCCCAAGCACGATGCTCAGGTCAAGGCCAAGAATCTCTACAAATCCTGCGTGAACAGCGAGCTGCTTAGCCGCCGCGGCCTAGAGCCGCTGCACACGCTAATCCGCCAGCTGGGCGGCTGGCCAGTGCTCGACTCAGATTGGCGCAGCACCCATTTCAACTGGCAGCAGCTGGCCGCCACACTTCGTCGTTACAACAATGACATACTCATCGTGCAGTGGGTGGGCGCCGATATCAAGAACTCCGAGGAGAATATCATACAGTTTGATCAAACCGGCCTGGGGCTGCCCACTCGCGAATACTTCCTGCAGCAGAACAATGCCAAATATCTTAATGCCTATCAGCGCTACATGGCCGAGGTAATGAACAAACTGGGCGCCAGCAAATCGGATGCATCACACACCGCCACCGAGCTGATTGCCTTTGAGACGCGCCTTGCGGCGATTACAGCGCCAGCAGAGCAGAGACTCAATGTGACCAAGGTAAGATGTGAAGTGAAAATGACACTTTATGATTGAAATGTTCTTTCTAATGCAAGAAAATAATTGGCTGTTTTTTTTCTGAATGCAGCTTTTCGAATTGCACCAATAAACTTAATAACCTTTACTCCATAGCTCTACAAGCGGATGTCGCTGCAACAGCTAAAAGCTTTGGTGCCACAGATTGGCTGGACTGCGTATCTGAGTACGCTGCAGGGACGCAATGTCAACGAAACGGAGCAGGTTGTCATCTATGCGGTGGAGTACATGAAGCAGCTTGTGGCACTGCTGGCCGTTACAGAGCCACGCACCGTCGCCAACTACATGATGTGGAGGTTTGTGCGGCACCGCATCAACAATGTGGACGATCGCTTTGACGATATTAAGCAGAATTTCTATCATGCGCTATTCGGCCGCGAGGAGAGTCCACAGCGCTGGAAGGTCTGCATAGCGCAGGTGAACACCAATATGGGCATGGCCGTCGGCTCCATGTTTGTGAGTCGCTATTTCGACGACAACAGCAAGCGGGATACACTGCGCATGACCCATGAGCTGCAGCAGGCATTTCGCGATATACTTAAGACCACTGACTGGCTGGATCAGACCACCAAGCTTCTGGCCGAGGAGAAGGTGAATGCCATGTCCCTTAAGATTGGCTATCCGGATTTTATACTAAATGCCGAAGAGCTAAACGAAAAGTATGCGGGCATCGATATACATCCGGACAAGTACTTTGAGAACACGCTCAATGTGCTGCTGCACACGGCCAAGATGGAGCAGGCCAAGCTGCACGAGCGTGTAAACAAAACCAACTGGCAGACGGCACCGGCGATTGTGAATGCCTATTACAGCCGCAACAAGAATCAGATCATGTTTCCCGCTGGCATACTACAGCCACCGTTCTATCATCGCCATTTTCCCAAGTCGCTGAACTTTGGCGGCATCGGTGTGGTCATTGGTCATGAGCTAACCCACGGCTTTGACGATAAGGGTCGGCTCTTTGATAGCAATGGCAACATACACAAATGGTGGACGGACGCGTCTATTCGCGGCTTTGACGACCGCGCCCGCTGCATCATTTCACAGTACGGCAATTACACGGTCGAGGAGGTGGGCATATCGCTCAACGGCGAGAGCACGCAAGGTAAGCCATAAATCCACTACCCCAATTTATCGCATGGCTCATCAGTCATCTGCCCAGGTGAGAATATTGCGGACAATGGCGGACTGCGACAGGCTTTTCACGCCTACATGCGTTGGATAAACGAGAACCCGCACGAGGCCAAAGATGAGATGCTGCCGGGCCTAAATATGACCGGACCGCAGCTATTCTTTTTGAATTTCGGCCAGGTATGGTGCGGTGCCATGCGGCCGGAAGCGATACGGAACAAGCTGAATACAGCTATACACAGTCCCGGACGGTATCGAGTCATCGGCACACTCTCCAACTCGTACGACTTTGCGCGCGAGTTCAACTGTGCGGCGGGCACGCCCATGAATCCCCACAAAAAGTGCAGCGTCTGGTAGTCGCTATCTATTGTTACCTATAGCCTAAGAGTATTACAGACGATCTATTCCTAAACATACCAATTCAAGCCGTTGGATCTTTCGCTAACTGTAAGTATTATTCAGTAAACCTAACTACAACCACTTCTCACTCGCATTCCAATGCTGAAGCACCCTCCAGAATTGCTCCACATTCGAAGCCACTTGATTAGGAGTATGTGTCGGCTGTCAGCTTCCTCTGGGCTGGCTTGTTGTGGTCTTGTCAACAACAACGTCGCACTTCACTTGGGCCCATTCCGTCACAATTCACATTCACTTAATTAATGGTGATTTATGCCCACTAGTTGGATTGCAAGTAACTGCCTCTCAATGCGGTTGTTGTTCTCCTTCTTGCTATGTTTAACTTCTTCAATTGTCTTTCCAATAAGCTCGCAATTCCTATGCGCCAATTTGCGAATTCAAACAATTCACTAATTAATCATATGTATTAAAATTTAAATTCCACATTCAAATCTAAAAAAAATATTAGAGGACCAAACATGACCCAATTTATAAGAATCCATTAGTTTGATAGCTTGAACAGTTTAGGAAAATCATTTTTTATGCATAGTGTACATTCTTGAGGTTTTCAATTTAATTAAGAAAAATGGTTAATATCTGCCAGAGCCAAGGGCGTTCCAAACGTATTTGTCTACTGATTTTTAACTTATTCACTTTTTCAGTTTACAAAGTTATTGCTGGCCTTTTTACCAAAGTATTTCAAGCTCGTCTTGCCGGTGAACGTGAATTGCCAGGATATATTCGCAAGTGTATTTATAGCAATATAAAAAACTAACTGTGCCAAAAATAATGTATGATATGCTTTATTATTTTCTTTTATATATATATATATATATATATATATATATTTCTTAGTAATTAACTATTTATATTTTAAAATAATTTAGTTGAAATTATTTGTTTGTGATAAGCGTAATAAAATATAAACGATTATAATATGCACAAACGAATCAAAAAAATTAATTTCTATCTAAATAGTTTTGAGCTTGCAGGTTCTCTAATGAAATTTCCCGAAATTTATTTGGTAATTACGCAACACTGACACCAATTCCAAAACTTTGGAGCTTTCAAGCTCAAAAAAAAAAACAAAAAATTTTTGGAAAACTTTTGAGTGCATTTTCTTCAGTTGATTCCCCTTTAGTCGGAGCCGTGTGTTCAACGGGTACAAAACACCAAAAAACTCACGTCCGTGTGGGTGATCCAAAAATATATATAGAACAAAAAATCGAGCAAAAATAGAAACTAAATTTCCAAAGCGGATCAAAGACATGTAACAATATTTAAAAAGAACAAAGAGAGTTGCAATCAACAAAAAACAGGTGAAATGCATATCTGGTTAATTGTTGTGATATTATTGTGGCCACACGAGGTCCATGGCTATGGAGGCAATTCCTATGGAGCTGCCAGCGGGCAGGCGATTCGAATCGGTAAGCTTGCAGAACAGCAACCACACAAACCACTCGTTTGCCCCACACTCATTACTCTTTGACTCAAACGCCGGAGCACAGGTCTTATCACTGACGATAGCACGGACAGAATACGCCAAACCTTTGAGCATGCCATTGCTGTGGTGAACAGCGACTTGAGCGTTCCGCTGGTGGGTGAAACGGAGCAAGTGGCTTATGGTAACTCCGTGCAGGCGTTTACACAACTATGCAGACTTATGCAGGTGCGCAAAGTTGTGAAAGGGAAACTTTGAAAAATATTTAAAATATGTTACCTATGCTATAGAATGGCGTGGGTGCTGTATTTGGACCATCTGCCAAGCATACAGCGGCACATCTGCTAAATGCTTGCGATGCCAAGGATATACCCTTCATATATCCTCATCTATCGTGGAGTCCCCAAACAGATGGCTTCAACTTGCATCCGCATCCCGAGGACATTGCCCACGCGCTCTACGACATTATCAAACAGTTCGAATGGTCCCGATTTATTTTCTGCTACGAATCTTGTATGGTAATTGCTTAGATTATATGAATGGATCTTATGGTCAGTTACTTGCAGCGGAGTACCTCACCATACTGGATCATCTGATGACTCTATATGGCATCAAAGGACCCGTCATTAAGGTCATGCGGTACGACCTCAATCTGAATGGCAATTACAAAGCAGTTTTGCGACGCGTACGCAAATCGGAAGACAATCGCATAGTGGTCGTTGGCTCAACGGAGGGCGTAGCCGAGCTGCTGCGTCAGGCTCAGCAGGTGGGCATCATGAATGAGGACTATACATATTTGGTGGGCAATCTAGATCTGCACACCTACGAGCTGGAGGAGTACAAATACAGTGAGGCCAATATAACTGGCATACGCATGTTTGATCCGGATAAAAAGGAAGTACGTGATTTAATTGAGACACTGCAACATGAACTGGGCGAAAGTGAGCCCACAAACAATGGTAAGAGCTGCCGATTTGTAATATCCTGTTAAGCCCTTGGCTAAATATGTATCTAACTGCAGGTTCCTCGCCTATCACGCTGGCCATGGCTCTAACCTATGATGCGGTGCGTGTCATTGCCGAAACCACCAACTATTTGCCCTATCAGCCGCAACAGCTGAACTGCTCCGAACGCCATGATAATGTCCAGCCAGATGGTTCCACTTTCAGAAACTATATGCGATCGGTAAGAATATCGATCAAATTTTAAGGAACTTTTTTATATTATTTGCAACTTTTTACAGTTGGAGATTCTGGAAAAAACCATTACTGGTCGCATTTTTTTTCAGGGCAATATGCGCAAGGGTTTTAGCTTCGATGTAATTGAGCTGCAGCCCGTAGGACTCGTCAAGGTGGGCACCTGGGAGGAGGGCAAGGAGTTTGAATTCAAGCGACCACCACAAATAACCACTTTTAATGACAACGAGGAAAACTCTCTGGTTAACAAAACCTTCAAAGTGCTTATCTCCGTGCCGGTAAGTTGGCGCTTATCTCAATAAAAATAACTCTCCATATAAAGCACCTATTCAAGCTTAGAACAAGCCCTATGCGAGTCTGGTGGAAAGCATTAATACTCTGATTGGCAATAGTCAGTATGAGGGATATGGCATAGATTTGATCAAGGAGTTGGCCGAAAAACTGGGCTTTAACTTTACCTTTCACAATGGTGGCAATGATTATGGTTCCTTTAATAAGACCACAAATTTGACAACCGGAATGCTTAAGGAAATTGTTGAGGGCGTAAGTTGTAGTGACCAAAACATTAACAATAACAAAGTAACCCTGAAATCTTCAATAGCATGCAGACTTGGCAATCACAGACTTGACTATAACGTCGGAGAGAGAGGAAGCCATTGACTTTTCCATACCATTTATGAATCTAGGTAAGTCTCCTATATCGGATAGAATTTGTATACGATTTTGATATAACTACCTTCTTAAGGTATTGCCATTTTGTATGTAAAGCCGCAAAAGGCGGAGCCAGCGCTCTTTTCCTTCATGGACCCCTTCTCAAAGGAGGTGTGGCTGTATCTGGGCATTGCCTATCTGGGCGTCTCCCTGTGCCTTTTTGTGCTGGGACGTCTTTCACCTTCGGAATGGGATAATCCCTATCCCTGTATTGAAGAACCGGAAGAGCTGGAGAACCAATTTACCATTAACAATTCACTATGGTTCACCACAGGCGCACTACTACAGCAAGGCTCCGAAATTGCGCCCAAGTAATGATGGAAAATCAAGGCAACAATTTTTATGACTAATTTTCTTTTTTACAGAGCACTTAGCACCCGCACAATATCAGCTATCTGGTGGTTTTTCACGCTAATTATGGTCTCTTCATATACAGCCAACTTGGCTGCTTTCCTTACCATTGAGAACCCTTCGAGTTCGATAAACAGCGTTGAGGATTTGGCAGAGAACAAAGACGACGTGCAATATGGAGCCAAGCGCACGGGTTCCACCAGAAACTTTTTTTTAGTAAGTGCCATGTAAGAGCCAGTCTCATGTATCCATGTATAATTATATATGTATTGCCTTAGACTTCCGAGGACGAGACGTACATGAAAATGAATGCGTACATGACCAGTCATCCAGAGATGCTAACTGAAACGAATCAGGCGGGCGTCGATAAGGTCAAAGCTGGCACCAAATATGCTTTTCTTATGGAATCAACCTCTATTGAGTATAATACGGTGAGGGAGTGTAATCTAAAAAAGATAGGCGAAGCCCTTGACGAGAAGGGTTACGGCATTGCTATGCCTAAAAGTGAGTAGAGGCTTAACACAGACCCTTTTCAGCCCAATTTAACTTAATAAGTAATAAACCCCAATATATAGATTGGCCATATCGCGATAAGTTCAATAATGCGCTACTCGAGTTGCAGGAGCAGGGTGTGCTGGCCAGGCTTAAGAACAAATGGTGGAATGAAATAGGCGCCGGTGTTTGCAGCGTAAGTTTTGGAAGTACCTTATAATTTTTTAGTGGAGGAGATTACGCACCCAAGATCTAATTGATTATATGCATATGTATATGTAGTAATGTAGTACCCGTAAATTCACAGACACACTTTTGCGTATTTTATTAGTATCCGTTAATAGGAGACATATTTTTATAGCATTATAGAAGAAAAAAAAGAAAAAATACAAACATCTATATACATTTAGATTATGCTTCTTTCATACAGGCCAAAGGCGATGATGATGGTCCATCGGAACTGGGCGTCGACAACTTGAGTGGCATTTACGCCGTGCTTATTGTTGGCTCATTGTTATCCTTTGTATTTTCATTTTTCTACTGGTGCCTATTCGTCTTCAAGAAGGCCAAATTCTATGAGGTAAGCAGGGATTATTTAAAAGAGTAATTGCTAGTTGATCTTCTTCACAGGTGCCCTTTTGCGATGCACTCGCTGAGGAGTTCAAAATTGTCATCAGCTTTGCGGAAAATGAGCGCGCCTTGAAGAGCGCCCAATCGGTGTATTCACGCAGTCGCAATTCTTCACAATCCATAGAATCGCTTCAAACCGATTCGGAGGAAAATATACCCGAGGAGGATTAAGAAATTCTCATTAGATATTCTCACAGTTCTCAACAATTTTGTTTGGCATCTCATGGTATTCACTCATAAAATGCTTCAATAAAGATTTGTAAGCTCAAAGCTTTTAGAAACTTTTACTCAAAAACGTTTTCCAAACGAAAATTTTGGAAATGCTCAAGCAGTTGTCGCCTTTCCCTCATCGCGTAGAGAACACAAAATCCATAGCCTCTTTTATTTGTTTATAATTATGCATATATAATAAAAAGCTTCATTAATTTGTGCAATAAAATGCCTAAGGCCAATGTTTTAATATATTGTTTAATATTAATATTAAAAGCATCGATTCTTAATGCTCAATATGACAATTACGGCGGCTACGATAGCCTCCAAAACTCGGGCAATATACCAATTGGTAAGTTTTTCTGGCACTACAAATTGCGGTCTCCGAACGCCTGATTTATTTTTAATGCCTCGTAAAGAGAACATGCTGTTCGTTCCATCAACGCTGAAAGCTCATAAAATGCTTTTAGTGTTTGTTTGTTTGGATTTGCGACGGTTCGCGGCAACGTCTGAATGTACTATATACTCCCGCATATGGACAGCGATAAGTTCAAGTTTTTGTTTATAAACAAACCGGCAAATTACATATACTAGGACTGTATACGTAATAGTGTATATATAAACGCTCTGCTAACAACGTGTAAAAAGTTCTGTCCATTTATCGCTACGAACGCTGTGAAGCTAAGAATTTGAGACTTATATGTTCTCTTCTATTCCCAGCTTAGAGTCTGTTCCTCGTTTTTTGACCATGGAACCGCGAAAATCTATTTAAAATTTTCAAGTCTAAAAATTAAAGTAAATCTATTGCCATGTTATCCTTACTTTAGTCACCAAAACAAAAGTCATGTTTAAATTGTTATTACGCTATGAACAGAGTATTGTGCAGTCTGCTGCACCCGACTGCGAAATTCTTAATTGTCTCTTCTCCATTGAATAGGCCTGCTTACTGATCAAAATACGGAACAAATGAATATTGTATTTGATCATGCAATCGAAGTAGCCAACCTGGAGCTGGGCTTAGCCATGTCATCCCTCAAAACCGAGGTGAACTACGGCGATGCTTATCATAGCTACGGAAAACTGTGCCGCATGCTAGAGGTAAGCTTGCATCCAATTTAATTTATTACTATTATAATTTATATTGCCTTGCGACTGCAGACAGGCATAGCAGGGGTATTTGGACCCTCTTCGCGCCACACGGCTGTGCATCTGATGTCCATATGCGATGCCATGGATATACCCCACATATACTCCTACATGAGCGAATATGCCGAGGGTTTTAATCTGCATCCCCATCCTGCTGATATATCCAAGGCGCTCTACAGCCTCATAACTGCCTTCGAGTGGTCGCGTTTTATATTTCTCTATGAATCGGGTAAGTTGTGAAGTAACTTACGGTTATATTATTCATATAATTTGTCATTCAAAGCGGAATATCTGAGTATCCTGAATGAGCTTAACTCCCTTTTCGGCATGAATGGACCAATTGTCACGGTACTGCGCTATGATATGCAGCTGAATGGCAACTATAAACCCGTTTTAAGACGTGTGCGCAAGTCCGTGGACAATCGAATTGTAGTCGTGGGCTCCACAGAGACGGTGCCAGAGTTTCTAAATCAGGTAGGGACTATAAGGTAAATGTAAAACTGTTCAATACATGAGTTGGTGCCTTTATCTGATGCAGGCTCAACAAGTTGGCATTATTAACGAGGACTATAGCTACATTATTGGCAATTTGGACTTCCATGCCTTTGATCTTGAAGAGTATAAGTACAGTGAGGCCAATATAACAAGTCTGCGTATGTTTTCACCAGAGAAAATGGCTGTGAAGGAGTTAATGCAAAAAATGGGCTACAACAATGATCCAGATGATTTCCGAAATGGTAAAGAGAATAACATACCAGTTCTTAGCTGAATCTCAATGCCAAGTAATTAGGTTCGTGTCCCATAACCGTGGAAATGGCACTCACATACGATGCCGTACAATTGTTTGCCGAGACCCTGAAGAATCTTCCTTTTAAGCCGGTTTCTCAAAATTGTTCTCAGCGCACGGAAAGTGTGCGGGATGATGGTTCCTCTTTTAAAAATTATATGAGGACGGTGAGATTGTGTTTTTGACCTAAAGATTCATCTCATCTCATCGCACTATCCCAATCAGCTGCGTCTCAAGGAACGCCTTCTCACCGGACCCATCTATTTTGAAGGCAACGTTCGCAAAGGCTACCATTTGGATGTCATTGAGCTGCAGCCCTCCGGCATTATCAAAGTGGGAACCTGGGATGAGGAGCGCGGCTATAGGCCCGAGCGCTTGGCGCCCACCAACTCACAGTTCGATAACATTGACAATTCTCTAGCGAACAAAACATTTATCGTATTGCTTTCGGTTTCGGTAAGAGAACATATAATTATAATTATTACTCAAGCTATAGCCAGGATTTTTCGGTCAGAACAAACCATACGCTAGTTTGGTGGAGAGCTACAAACAACTCGAGGGCAATAGTCAGTATGAGGGATATGGTGTGGATCTGATCAAGGAGCTGGCCGATAAATTAGGCTTCAACTTTACCTTTAAAAATGGTGGCAATGATTATGGCTCATATAATAAGACTTCCAATGAATCAACGGGCATGTTGCGGGAGATAATGCATGGCGTAAGTTAATATGAAGCACATCAAATGAAAAAAAAAATTGAATTTATATTAAGATAATTTATAAAAACATATTTCTTTGCAGTATGCTGATTTGGCAGTCACTGATCTGACTATAACGTCGGAGCGCGAAGAAGCTATAGATTTTAGCATACCATTTATGAATCTAGGCAAGTTGAGAGAAATATTTCCTCAACTGCTAAAATTTACGCTCTACTTTATTTCAGGTATTGCTATACTCTATTTAAAGCCCCAGAAAGCCACACCGGAACTATTTACCTTCATGGATCCGTTCTCAGAGGAGGTTTGGTGGTTTCTTGGCTTGTCCTTTCTGGCTGTTTCGTTAAGCTTTTTCATACTTGGCCGTCTGTCGCCAAGCGAATGGGATAATCCATATCCGTGTATTGAAGAGCCAGAGGAGCTTGAGAATCAGTTTACTATAGGTAACTCCATTTGGTTTACAACAGGTGCTCTGCTACAACAGGGTTCAGAAATAGGACCCAAGTAAGTTCTTATATATACATCTTATATGTTTCTTCAATACATTATTCCCAATCAGAGCCTTGTCGACGCGCACTGTAGCCAGTTTCTGGTGGTTCTTTACGTTGATTGTCGTCTCCTCCTATACAGCTAATCTAGCTGCCTTCTTGACCATTGAGAAACCACAAAGCTTAATCAACAGCGTGGATGATCTGGCTGAGAACAAGGACGGCGTTGTCTATGGAGCCAAGCGTACAGGATCGACTAGGAACTTCTTTTTGGTTAGTCTTAGGATATTTAAATTCGTAGAGATTACTTTACTCGTGTTTTACCGCAGACCTCCGAAGATGAACGCTACGTGAAAATGAATAAATTTATGACTGAACATCCTGAGCATCTAACAGAAACCAATCAGGAGGGCGTTGACCGGGTCAAGACTAGCACTCATTATGCCTTTCTCATGGAATCCACATCCATTGAGTATAACACGAAGCGCGAATGTAATCTCAAGAAAATTGGCGATGCTCTGGACGAGAAGGGCTATGGAATAGCCATGCGCAAGAGTATGTCGTAAAAGTACCCAAAGAATTTCCATTAACTTATAAGCTCAAATCCTATAGATTGGCCACATCGCGATAAATTTAATAATGCGTTGCTGGAGCTGCAGGAGCAGGGCGTGCTGGAAAAGATGAAGAACAAATGGTGGAATGAGGTGGGCTCTGGAATATGCGCAACCAAGGAAGATGCACCCGATGCCACACCACTTGCCATGGATAATCTAGAGGGCGTCTTCTTCGTCCTGCTCGTGGGTTCATGCTGTGCGCTGCTCTATGGCGTGATCAGCTGGGTGCTGTTCATCATCAAAAAAGCGCGGCACTTTAAGGTAAGCATTCAACAGATAAAACCTTGAGGTAAACTCACATAAATCCTGTTGCAGGTGCCGGTGAAGGATGCGCTTATAGAAGAGTTTCACTTTCTCATTGACTTTAACAACTATGTACGCGTACTCAAGAGCTCGGAGTCGATTTACTCACGCAGCCGGCAGTCTTCCATGTCGGTGGGTTCGATCAGACAAGAATTGCAAACGGCGTTAAATTAAATAAGAAATTGTCAGCTTTATTAAAAAGTTAGTTCACATGGAATGCTATGAAATTGTTTTTAAAGTATGAAATATTACTTCATATTCAGTTTGTAGCTTTACCTTTAATCGTTTTTCAGTGCAATAAAAGGGCTTGATTTGCAAAAGCACCAAAAAATTATATGAAATAGACCTATTACTCCAGTAGAAGGAAGTGCCTACGCCAGCAATATGTTTAACAAACTATTTAGAATATTTGGGCCAAATACTTGGCCTAGTTTTAGTGGATTAATAAATATTTTAACAATATTACGTAGTTGAGATCGGTCTTAGGTCCAGTTCTTTGCTCGCCACAACAGGCAATGTATGTGATTATCCACATTAGATGGAGGCATCGATTTGCCCGCACCATGCGTGGGCGTGCTGGCCACTGAGCTAGCTGTATTCGAAGTGGACTCACCCATGTCCACATAGCGCGAGATCAGCGAACGATAGCGTCGCCCAAGCGTAGCTATTAGCGGCACGCTGGCATTCGGCATGGTTATGATAGCTTTAATCTGAAATGGATTAACGACTGAATTAACTACTCATTATATACTATACACGCAAATATTGACCTCATTCTCATAAGGACGAAATACACTAATGGGACGCAGCGATTGCAGCTCGGCCACAATGAGACAACCCCAGGTGGTGCCTATGTACAGCTCGGTATTGTGTGCCGCCAGTGCCGAGATTTGGCATTTAATAAGATTTACGTGCTCATCAATTGCAATGCTCTGTAGGGATTCGGAACAGGGCAGCAGCTTTGAGCAGTCCAATTTATTTTCAATACGCTTCGTCATTGTACCCCACTGATATACCATGCAGCCGGGATACAAACAGCTAAAGACGTGGCTATCATTGCTGCACAGGCGCACCACTTTAACATCCTCGATCAGATTGGGCTCCTCGCTGTGGCACAAGGCCTGATGACCGCACACGCCAGACTCATTAACAGGAAAAACATTGATTTTGCCAGCTAACTCGCCACACCACAGCTCATAATTGCTGTAAAGAACGGATAAGGATCAGCAAAGTTGAAAGAGGCTTGATAGCAAACTCACCCTTCAATCAGTACTGAGCAGGCGGCATGAAGCACAAAACCGGAACAAATCTCGGTGAGCACAAATGAGCCCTCGGCAAAGGCGCAATTACTGGGCATACGACTGGCATCCACCAGGAAAACACGACCATTTTGTAATCCCACAGCGACACGCACAATGTCCTCCATATACACTAAACTTATTACAGCTGACTTGATGGCGGGATCAAGCATGTAGGAGAACAAATGTGCATAGCTCGATGTGCTGTACGCGTGCAAATTACCCGAAACATCACCCATCCAAATAGCCTCACCCACTAAACAGCAGCATTGCATATTCACCTTGGGCACACGCTGTGCGGAACGTGCACGTGCGGTTGCGCTAGTTTCGGGCGTTTTAGGCGGCACCATTTGCGGCTGTGGAGCACAACTAATGCTGCTGCACTGCAGCAGACTACCAGTTAGAGCAACGTCTAGTATGTCAATGTGTGAACCAAAAGCAGGCAGCCACAGTTCAAGGCCGGAGCGCTCCTCCTCAATGCTGCCCAACAATAATTGAAATGCGCCGCAAACAATCTTGTCGCTGTGCGGCAGAGCTACCACGTCCAGCAAATGGATGCACTCAGGCGCACTTTAAGGTAAATTGGGATTAAGCCCGCGATATACTGAGAGCTGCTTCAAACTTTACCTGAGTATAGAAACTATCTGACTAGCTGATGGCCGTCGACGCGGCTGTTCGTGCCAGCAGAGTACCATGAGATCTAGACAACAGGTGGGAAACTGTGTCTCGCGCTGTGTCAGCGCCGGACGACTGCCCTCCAATATGCACTCCTTGATAGACTCATGACCCTCAAAAGGCTGGCGCAGGCTAATATTCTCATAAATAAACATACCAAAAGAAAAGCAATCCACCTAAGGGAAAGAACAATGATGAAAACAAATCAGTTTATATCAGTTCAATTACCAGTTACCTTTTCTGTATACTCCTCCTCGCCATTATAACGTATGATCTCGGGCGCCATAAAGCCTTCCGTGCCGCCAAAGCCTTTGGCACTAAGACCAGCCGCCGTTTGACGACTGATGCCATAATCTGCAATTTTAATATGCACCTGGTTGCGTGGACTATCCTCACTGTGCGGCTGTGGCAGCTCCCAGACGAGCACATTTTCAGATTTCAGATCCCGATATATAATGCGCCGGCGATGCAGATACTCGATGGCGCGTGCGGCCTGCAGAACCAACATTTGGAATGTATGAGGACCCATGTGTGCGCCACTGCGCCTATACTGGCGCAACAGTGCATCAAGACCTCCTAGTGGCGCCAGCTCCAGCACCAAGGCCAAAGGTTTTATGCAAATGCCTACTAGAGGCACAATATTCGGATGCTTCAGTGTGAGCAGTACGGCCAACTCTTGTCTAGCGGTGCAATAGGCCTTGCAGGAATGCTGCAGCGGATCGCGATCCCATTTACCCACGGCCACCTTATAAGCCATCAAAGCACTCTAAAAATACAATACAAAAGGGAGGATATAATCTTTAAGGGTTAATGAGAACTGATTTTGACCAACCTCCTTAGCCCGCGCACCTGGCTGCACCGGCTGCAGCATTTTCATGGCCACCGGTCGGGACGCTCGAGCGCCACGCAACTTGCATGTGGCCTTGAAGACAAAGCCAAAGGCGCCGCGTCCCAGTAGCGACCCCTTGATGATGCATTCAGGGGCAATTGTATGCTTGTCGGGAATATCTGCAAAGATGACATCAGGTGCCAGCTGTGCCATTGACTGCTCCAGATGAACCGGGCAGCTGAGTTTGCTTTGATTGTATACGGACAAAATGCACTCCTCAACCATCCAGGCATAGCAGACATTCGAGTTGTCTGGTAGATTATGCGAAGCATAAGCTGGATGTCCATCCACAGAGGTGTTGCGGGAAGAGAAAGCCGAGTCCGGTCCTACGCCCGAATCCGCATCTGAGCCAGCACCCAGCGAATCGGCTGAGCGTCTCTCCCGGCTTGCAGTTGCATTAAGATAAGCGGAAAACACATTCAGGGCGCCGTCGTCACCAGGATCACCAATGCCATGTAAAAAGAAAGTGCCACGTTTACCACTGCGACTGGGTCTACTGCCACTCAGACTGGGCTCCCGCTCCACAGGCTCTGCACCATTCTGTAGTTGGAGCTTCCGGAGGCAACGTGGGCAAAGCACTAAGCGTGTTATCAAGAAACGCCCCTCAGAGGTATGCACAAAGCGTGTACCGAGCGCTGGATACCAATCCTCCAACAGCAGATCTATGTGGTCCACAACCAGAGCTAACAGCTTAGCCACATGGGACATATGCGGCTGTAACTCAGCCAGCAGTTGCCGTTCGCCCGCATCGAGCTCTTGGTAAATGCTCACGTGAAGCAGTGGGAAGTAAACCTCCAAAATACTAGAGGAGCTCAGGTTCACATCGCTCCAAGCGCCATCCAATTTGAGCTTGAAGCGGTTGCCAGCTGTGCGAAAAGGCTGTGTGCGTTCGTTGCTTTGGAAGGGCACTTCCCAAATGCGAAAGATAAGTATGGGTCCGTAGTATAATGCCAGACCCGTTTGCCACAGGTTCCACTGGGTGTCCTGCTCCAGCGAGCCACGCAAATCAAAGTCTAGATATTTCTGGTGAGGAATAGCAGGATTAAGAAGCATTCAATTTGAAGTAATCCAGAAAACTCACATCCTGTGCGGCCACATACACGCCTCGAATAGCCTCAATTATTTGCTCGTCGGCCAGAACACGCGTAAGCAGACGTGACCAGAAGCCGGAAGGAAAGTACGTCATGAGCAGCATGCGACGCAAGCCCTGACTGGCCGCGGAGACCGAACACGTTGGGGTACGTGGCAGATGCTGTTCATAGATGAGCTTATTCAGATTGAGCTCCTGCGAGACGGAGCAGCCCAGATTACGACCTCGTACACGTTGCAGTAATTTAACCGTGGTTCCTTCGTTATAGGCAGCCGCCTCCTGCAGAGGCAGCAATGAGGGAATCAAAAGCGTACGCGAATCCCAGGTTAACGCCACCTCAAACTTGTTTAACAAGCTTACTATATAGCTAAAAAAAATAAAAATAGAAATAGGTTTGGTAAGAGAGAACAAGTTTATGACAATGCAAGTGCACCCACCTACGATTCCCATTGCCCTGGGCGTGCACACTGCGAAAGAGCAGCTGCAGGTCGTCTAGCTTCATGACGCCCGTAGGTGCAAAGGGATTTATCTCCCGCACAGTAACCACATGCGCCAACATATCGCACAGCCACTGTGGGTCAAGAAAATAGTAATCCCTAAGCGTGGCATCATCATAGTGCAGTAGAATGCCATTATCGTGACACCAGGTTGTTGCCTGCTGGAGCTCCGCGGCATCGCGAAAACTCTTGTAGTTATGCAAACGCATTTGCTCTGTGACCATACAACGATATTGCTCCGCATCCAATACCGGATCGCGACCGGCGGCGCGTAGACTACAAGCAATCACATTAATAATATCCTCTAAAGCAATATAGGTTGCTGGTATCTTCTGCAGCAACATAGGCTCCTTGGAGCCGGGCGATCGCAGCTGCATGGCTGTGTCGTAGATGATGTTGGCCAACAAATGGATATTGTGCAGTGTACTATAAAATAGAGATTAGATATAACATTGGCTACAATTTTAGCCTGCAACAGCACTCACCGACAGCTGATTTCAATGGAGTCAATGACACGCGGTAATCCAATCTTCTCAGCATCTGGAATAGCTATAAACTTCTCGCGTATCAGCTGCTGCAATTGCTCTGCCTGCTGTGCGGAGATGGATTCACCAACCGTATCGAAATGCGTGCCGACAATGAGCACCGGTGAATTTGGAGCACGCGCCTGTATATTGCCTAGCCATTGCAGCAGTTCCGCCAAGCCCTTGTGGCCATCACTAATGCGCCAAAGCACCAGATAGAGACTGCGCTTGGACAGAAAGTATTGATGTGTCGCATAGTATTCCTTCTGGCCGCCAAAATCCCATGTGCGAAAGACAATCGCTTGACAGCCTGTTGCCCGTTTGCGCTTCTCGCAGATCCAGGTGCCAATATCCACGCCAACCGTTGAGATGTTCGCCTGGCGCTGGGAGCGCGAGGTGCTGCGCGCGTGTCCCATGCGCTTGGCCCAATGATTCTCATTGGCGCGCGAACGATGCGAACTGGAGCCACCCGAACCATTGCCCACACCCTGACGCAGTAGATCTAGCAACGTGGTCTTGCCGATTCCACACGAGCCCACAACCATTAGCTTCATGCGTGCATACGGCTGCGCATCCTCATAGATGGACTTCAAATAACCGACTATGTCCATGGTCTTGTGCTTTTTACTTTCAATCATGGAGCGGAGCGGCTCCTGCAGCAGGCAGCCGCGTGTGTTCAGGTTCCACAGCCGCGAGAGCAGACCCAGATGTGGTGGCAACTCGGTAATCTGAACATTCCCACTGATATTTAAAACGGAGAGGCTGCTTAGCTCATGCAGGGAGGCAGGTATTTCCTTCAGACAGTTATTAGTCATGTCCAGCATTGATAGATTGGGAAATATGACCTTCGACTTGTTGACGCCCACCACACTCCAGTCGGCATCCTCACTCTCATTGAACAACGTCGTGGCATCATCTGTAGACAGCTGTATGCGCGTCAGCAGATTATCGGCCAAGATGAGCGTCCGCAGCGCCTCCAGACGCAAATGGCGCCTGTGCCGGCAGACGCTTTTCAGCACAGAGGCACGAAAGGAGCAGCTGCTGCCTTTAGACGACTTATAGATGGGCTCATCCATGCCCTCTGGCAGCTGGACATGACTATAGCACAGCAGATGCGGATCGGATTCGGTAATGCGCGGCAAGCTGGGCCAGCACGAGATCTCGTTATGGCTCAAATCCAGCTGCTTCAGTGTGGCCGGATAGCTGGTCACATGGCCCATGGAGCGAAGGCTGTTGTAGGACATGTTCAGCCGTGTTAAATTAACTGCCAGACAGGGCAGAGCAGCGGGAATGCTGGTGAACAAATTGTTGGCAATATTCAAACTGCTTAGCTGCGATGCACCATACGGCGCCTTGCCATCAGCCACAGCCTGTTCCTGCTCTTGCTCCTGGTCCTGCTGCCACTTCAAGTCATTGTCAGTGATATCCAGTGCTGTGGACCAGAGATTGCGATGCGTCAGTGTCCGATGTAGCAGCGTGTGCGGCTTATTGGAGGATGGCTCATCACAGGATTGCAGTAGCTGCAACTTGTCCAGGCTCATCAGCGAGCCGCTAGTTTGCATGGGCGGCACAGGCAACTCGCGCAGCAGATTAAAGGCCACATTCAGTTCACGCAGCTTGGGCGCTCGCCACATATCAAAGGGCAGCTGTTGCAGCTTATTGTTGGAAATATCCAAAATGGTCAACGCGGGCAGATGGAAAATAGCCGCCGGCAGGCAGGTCAGCTGATTATCTTGCAGAAAGAGCTCATCTAGCACTGGACAGTTGTAGGTCTTGTCCAGGGGCGCCGGCAGCTCCGTGATTTTGTTCTGGGCAATGTTCAGATATCTAAAAAACCCAAAGATTAGGTACAGTTCCTAAAGGATTACCATGTAGCACTCACTTGAGACTAACTAAGTTAAACAGCTCGGGGGGAATGCTGGTTAATAGGTTGTGCGAAAAATCAATGCGTGTGATAGCCGTTAGTGCCACCTCGTTGAGCCTAGGATGCGAACTTAGCTTGGGATTCAGTTGTAGCACTCCACTCACCAGCCAGCCAATCCGTACGAAGGGAAGCTGCACATTCATGCTAAGGCTGTGCCAGTCAATTATCGTTGGAACATTAGGAAACATGGCGCTGTACGATATATTGCTGGCAGAAGGCAGAAACACATTCACCTCCACTGGCGTGGGCAGACCCTTCTTGTTAATCTTGTAGTCTGAGTCGGGATGCACACGTCGCGCCAACAGGCGACTTAATAGCGCCTCATCCTCGCTGGCAATGGCCACGCTTATGGCCGTGCCATTATCATCCCGTGCTCCAAACTTCAGCAGTAGATCCAACATGGGCAAGGAGCGCTGTTTGCAAGCCTCCGTAATAGGCATATTGCTTAAGCCATAGATCTCCTCGCTGCACTTGGGATCGTTGTGATCTTCCACGGGCTTGGCCACAATATTTGGATTGGCGCCATGCTGCAGCAGCGCTTGCGCGACATCCAAATGCCCACCTCGCACCGCAGCTAACAGCGCTGTTTCGCGTGCCGCACCACACAGCAAATTGATATGGATGGGACATCGCTGTGACTCCTGCTCCTGCGTTGGCTGCGCTTCGAGCGCGTCACCCTCGCCAGATATATGCAGCTTGGACATAATGGCTTGTATGCCAAAGGAGATGCGCTTACGCGTGGGCGTTATGGGCGTGCTCTGGCCCGTCGTCGAACTGCCCGAGTCCTCGCTTAAGGTGCGCCGACAACGCAGTTGCCACTTAAGCAGTACACCCAGCAGCTGCTTATTGCCAAGCAAGCTGGCAATGTAGAGACTGGTTTGCCCAGTCACATCCTGGGCATTAGCATCGAAGGGCAGGCGCCACTCCCATTGGCCCTCCTCGTCACGATATGTCTGATAGAAGTAGTCGGGATATGGAAAGCCGATTATCAGCTCCAGCATCTTGATATGCCCATTGATGCAGGCCGCATGCAGTGGTAGCCAGCGCTCCACAGTCGCCTGTTGTATCAGCTCCGGAAAGCGCTCGAGCATAAGCTTGGCAATCCCATAATGACCATTGTGAACGGCTGCATAGAGCGGTGAGTACTTGGTGACCGCATGTGAGCGTCCATCTGCACCAGCGTCAATCAGCCGTTGTGTGATGCTCTCGAAGCCGGATTGACTGGCGCTAGGTTAAACAAGAGAAGACATTGCATTACTGATGTACATATATGCTGATTGATTGAATGACACATTGACCGACCGACTGATTGACTTATTGGCACTTCGGCTAAATAATTGACTGGCTAAAAGACAGTGCCTGACTAATTGACTGGCTTCCTCATTTGACTATCTGAATGACAGGGCGACTGTTAGATTAACATTATACATAAATTATGTAAATACATATATACCCATTGATTGTCTGATTGAAAATGTATAATAGCACGAGTAAGTTGGCAAATAAACAAAACACATATATTATTAAGTTTGCATTTTAACTTACATAAAGAGAAGCGTATTGGCGCCGGCTGGTGCCATATTGACAATGATCTGTCGCTCCCTACCCAGCGCCTCGAGCAGCACGCGCACCGTGCGTTCATCTCCAATGCTGACGGCGGCACGCAACTCGCCATGCTTTATTTGACGCACCTCCTCACGCGCATCTGGAAGAGATAAAGGCAATTAGGTCAAGCAAGGATACAGCATATGGTAAACTGTTTATCATGTATCGCACCCAGTCCACGCGAGTTCTCAATGACCTCATCGACAAAATAGTCGCAGGCATCCAAAGCAGTCTCAGTGCCAGGCTTCGGCCGTTCCACAAATTTCCAAGACATTCTTATGTAAGCTGCCCCAACCAATGCCAAACAAACCAAAAAAGCTTAATATTTATGCCATCAAGACAACCGCGTGGCGCGCTGCTCGGTATTTAACTGAGCCAACTATTGACTTGGCAGTTGCTTCGGAAAATCGATTCATTTGCCAGCAACGTCGCGACGTGTTGTCTGGTTCGTACGCTTCGACAAAGACTTCATTCATTGAAGCCGTTGCACGCACTGCGCAAGACACACAAATCCCACAACTGTTGCACATTGGGTATGGGTCATGGTTGGGTATACCGTGGACAGGTGTGCGTATTTATTTGTTTACATTCATAGTTGATGTGTATCAAGTATCTCAGGGGCGCAAGTGTGAATGCGAATGGCTAATCAAGCATTTCCAACTCATATGCCTATCCGGCTGTATCACATTTGAATTTGTTGATATTTAAAATTGTAATTTTGCGCGCCCATTTGGCAATTTTGGAACTTAAACACCCTGTGCCAACGCTAGTTTATTGACTTTTACTTACCCTCATCCGAGTCATCACTATTCTTCATATCCTTGTCATATACAGCGCTTTGCGCTCTGTTTTCAACACGTTTATGTTGCACAGCACCATGCGAGTCACTTAAAATGCGTTGTGCAGATTTTCACATTTTTAGCGCGATTTTTGTACACATTTTTCGCCGTTTTACTTGCGAAATTTTCACTTTGTTTGTTTACTTTTGTGCCAGGGCCGTCGAAACAGTGACAGTTTCGTTAAGTTAATCGTTATCGTTTCGATTGTACAGCTCTGCATCGTTGAGAAATATCGCACCTATACAGCACTGGATTTATTTCAACAAGTAAACAAGGAGAAAAGAGGCCATCAAAATAAAAAGAAGAATAAAAAGTTTAAAAAATACAATATTAACGGTTTAACTGCGTTTTTTGTGCTGCAGTAGTATTTTGTGTTTGCCCGCGTGCGGGCAACGTTGAACGGGTCACAGCTTGCGCAGCTCACACCCAAAAAACATATACTATATATGTACATATTTATATGCGTGGATGTGTGTGTCATGCGTGTGTGCGAAGACAGACTCGGTAATAAAAACAACAATAAAAACAAATGGAAAAGTTTGAAATGTATTAGAAATTAATCAGCTGTAAAGTTTAATTGCGTTTTGTTATGTTCTATGCAATAATCACTTGAAAGTTCCGCGACTTACAGATGCAACTTCGACGTCAAAGGCCGTGCCGTGCCGCGTAACTTAATGGACTCTTTGCCCTTACCCGTATGCAGTACAACTGCTTTGTGCTGCAACTGGGGACAATGATGCCGTAGTGCGCAAATGTTGGCCGTAAAAATTTCGACATAAAGTGCATTTGGTTGTTAATCTAAACTATGTTTGAGATAAAAAAAAAGGGGACTTTAAATACTAATGGATTGTAACTTTGGCCAGCGCATAGAGTATGCCAACTTCGCCATACAATTTTCAAATTTATTTTTTGACTTGTTCGCCATTGCCATTGTCGCCGCCGCAACCCCTCCCCGCTGTGCATATTTGTAGCTATAATGTATGAATCATACTAAATATAAAGTCAATCTTTTTGGAGCTTTAATCCATACGGCGAGCTAAAATGTCAAAATTTACGAGTTCAGTCAATGAAATCTGCTCTTCTATTGTTTATTCTACAGATTTTTTTTAATTTATTCATCTACACTTTGCTGTTAAGTTTCGTTTACCAAGCCCATTATCTTTTAAAATATAACATTTTATTTCAGAATGTTAGAATTAAAGCCAATTTAAACATATCAAAGATTTTCCAAGTGCGATATATGTACATATAAATTCTAAATCGCTGCCATCTTATCAAAGTGGGCGGCTAATTTCCATCTGTTTGCTTTTGCAATAACTCGGCGCCACCTTTTGATTTATTTCCCATACAGAGAACGCGCTGGCTGCGACGTTAATTTGAATGGAAAGAGGAGCTGCAAAGTAACAAAAACAACAGCAATATGCACTTAATATGTGCACCAACGCCAACAAGAATTAAAGGAAAATTTGCTGATAACAAGGAAAAACAGAATCGATACTGCACGCGAAACAATTGTCTTTTACAAGCGAAAGATCAAGAGAGTGCGACAAAAGGCGCCAGAGACAGAGAGAGAGAGAGAGAGAGAGTAGCTACTTTAATTATAAGTACATATGTACATATATTTAAAATATAGTTAAAATATATCGAAAATAAGCTATGGCCGATATGACATTTTCAAAGGACAAATACATGTGCAGCAGATTCGCAATTGATCTCTGGAAGTACGATCCGCCAGACGTTGTCCATCTAACATGCCTGATGCCTAACGGGCTGATGCTCTATTTGGTCGCCAAATCAACGGCCACCATACGCGAGGTTAAAGTGGAAATGGTGACACAGGCAAAATGTGGCCCATTGGGCTATTTGATTAAGGATGCCTGCGATTATCTGGTATATGGCATCTCGCACTACACCATCGAACCATATACGGACGAGACGAAGCGTCTGTTTGAGGTGCAGCCCTACTTTGGACTGTTGAGTCTGGGTGAACGCACGGATACGACAACCTTTTCCAGCGACTATGAGCTGACCAAAATGGTAACTGATATAATTGGCAAGTCGTTCGATCATCAGAACACTCAGGGCACACCGGAGGTGGATCACTTTCGTACAAAAGTGGCATTAATCTGCGATAACATCAAAATAGAGCGATCGAAATATTCGTGGCAGCAGCGTTTACTTTACGAGCATCCACTGCGGCTGGCCAACTCGACAACCATGCCGGAACTCATACGACAACGACATCCGAGCTCAGCATTTCTTATTGCCGTCAAGAACGAGAACGATCAGAGCACGTTCACGTTGTCCGTGGTGGAGAACGATACACCGCTCTCATTGATCGACAGCACACTGCAGAAGATGAATCGTTCGCAGATGAAGATGAACGATCGTGCCGCCGACTATATACTCAAGGTGAGCGGCCGGGATGAGTATCTGTTTGGTGATCACCCACTGATACAGTTCCTGTACATACAAGAGGCGCTCTCCGATGCGGCGGTGCCGAATGTGGTTCTGCAGTCGGTGCTGCGGCTCGAGTCCTACATCAATCATTACAGTGAGCAAAGTCTGGGCCTTAAGAGCCCACCAAAGCCGGATCGGCAAACCACAGCTACACTGCAGAAGCCCATTACTATGTTGTGGGATTTGGAGGAGGTTAACTTTACATTAACACTACATGGCGTCACCAATGTCAACTTTGATCGAGCACGCGCCTTTAAAGTGGGTGTCCATGTTGGGCTCTACCACGGCAAGCGCAAGCTGTGTGCCCAGCGCAGCGTTGATGCATCCAGTTGTGGCAGTTCACAAGACTTTCAATTTGATGATAATGTAATGGAATTCGATATACAAATGCGTAACCTGCCGCGCATGACGCGTCTGTGTATTGTGGTGTTTGAAGTAACCAAAATGTCGCGTTCGAAAAAATCTTCTAATAACAGCAGCACGCTCAAGGATGTGTTTTACAATAATAATCCATTGGCTTGGGTCAATACCACGCTTTTTGACTACAAGAACCAATTGCGTAAGGGACGGCAAACGCTATACACCTGGACCTATGCCGACGATATACAATCGGATGATGTCTTTTATCCTCTGGGCACTGTCGAGTCGAATCCGCGCAAAGACGGTTGCGCCATGGTGCATCTGACATTCCACCAGGGCGCCAACGACAGCAGCAATGAAGATGTCTGCTACCCAAGCGAGGAAGAGGTGCTACAATATGCAGAAGATCGTGCCAACCGCGATAAGCAACAGCCAATGGCAGACACTGAGAAAACGCTCCTCGGTGTCCTGCTAGCCAATTATTCGGGCAAAGATAAAATCTACGAAATGGTCGATCAGGATCGCAATACCATATGGGAGCGCAAGTGAGTTAACTAAGGTTGCGTAATCTTCAATCGACTTACTGTATACTTATCATAATTTATGTTTTCAGAAACGATATTTTGCGCGAATTTCCAGAAGATCTGCCCGTGTTGCTGCACTGCGTCTACTGGAAAGACCGCGATGATGTGGCCGACATTTGGTATCTGCTCAAGCAGTGGCCGCTAATCTCCATCGAACGCTCGCTGGAGCTGCTAGATTATGCCTTTCCCGATCCAGCAGTGCGCGGATTTGCTATCAAGTGTCTGCATAATCTCAAGTAAGTCCCCATTGTGATCGTACAAAATGCTCTTTAATTTCTGTATATTTCCTCGCAGGGATGAGGATCTGCTGTTGTACCTACTGCAGCTGGTGCAGGCCATTAGGCACGAGTCGTATTTGGAGAACGATCTGGTTATATTTTTGCTGGAGCGAGCCTTGCGTAATCAGCGCATAGGACATTACTTTTTCTGGCATCTGCGATCCGAAATGCAAACGCCCTGCATGCAGACTCGCTTTGGCCTGCTTCTGGAAGCTTACCTTAAAGGTTGCAAGCAGCATGTGAAACCGCTGCGCAAACAGCTCGAAGTACTAGAAAAGCTTAAGCAGGGATCCGTGATAGCTAAGAAGGGCAGCAAGGAAAAAGTGCGCAACGTACTTCAGAAGTTCCTGCGCAACGAGCACAATAACGGCGTCTTCCAAAATATCCAAAACCCCTTAAATCCAAGCTTCAGATGCAGTCGCGTGACGCCCGATAAATGCAAGGTGATGGACAGCAAGATGCGACCACTCTGGGTGGTTTTCGAAAACGTCGATCAGACAGCCAACGATGTGTACATTATATTCAAAAACGGCGATGATCTGCGCCAGGACATGCTTACATTGCAAATGCTCCGCGTCATGGATCAGTTGTGGAAGCGTGAAGGGTGCGTGGTAGATTGAAAGTAGTTAAGAGATTTATTAATAATTCAAATATATCTGTTTTGATAGATTGGATTTGCGCATGAACATCTACAACTGCATCAGCATGGAGCAACGTTTGGGCATGATTGAAGTGGTGCGTCATTCGGAGACAATTGCGAATATACAAAAGGAAAAGGGCATGTTTTCGGCAACTTCGCCATTTAAGAAGGGCTCGCTCTACAGCTGGCTTAAGGAGCACAACAAGGCGCCCGAGAAACTTAACAAGGCCATTAACGAGTTTACGCTCAGCTGTGCTGGATACTGCGTTGCCACATACGTGCTGGGCGTGGCCGATCGTCATTCTGACAATATCATGGTTAAGCGCAATGGACAGGTAAGCAAATAAGATCACATTTTGTATGTAAAAGTAATCATGCTATACATATTACCCTTTCAAAAGCTCTTCCATATTGACTTTGGCCACATTTTGGGCCACTTTAAGGAGAAGTTTGGCGTGCGTCGGGAACGTGTGCCCTTTGTGCTTACACACGACTTTGTCTACGTCATTAACAAGGGCTGTATCGATCGCGAGGCAAAGGAGTTTTGTTATTTTCAGACTTTGTGCGAGCGTGTAAGTTGCAACATCGTTCAGGTTCTAGTTAACAACATCTAAGAAACAACTTCTCTAATATACTTTAGGCATTTTTAATATTACGCAAACACGGCTGCCTTATACTATCGCTGTTCTCAATGATGATTTCAACGGGACTGCCGGAACTGTCCTCCGAAAAGGATTTAAACTATTTACGTGAGACTTTGGTAAGCCTTGCAGTTTAATTATATT